AAATTTGTGCGATGAGCCACCAACCCCTCACCTCCACAGCGCCGGATTTACAAGCGCGCATAGCCCACCACCATGCCCACGAATACTACCCAATGGCGCGCAGGTTTAGCACAGAGATATACGTGCATAGGTAAGCAAAGTTTCTACCCTCTGGATAAGTGCCACTTAATTTGGAAACACCGGTGGCACATAATGAGGAGGGCCCGAGGTGAAACGTGAAATCGCACGTCCCCAGGCACACCCGCGTCCATTCTTTCCCCAAGACCCAAATCAAGCCGGCGAACACAGGGCCCTGTTTTTATAGTGCGGGTGTGATTGCCGACAGCAGACATACAGCACGTGTGCTTGAACCCACCAAGTAGAGAGACCTTGATCCACGCGTTGGATTTCAAGAATGTGTAACCGACCCGAAATCAAGAGGGTCCCCTGGGGCGCGTGTTGTTCTACTCCAAAGTGATGGTAATGTACATCTGTTCTCATCTTTGCCTATTACCGGTTTCTTGTCTGGGAGCGTGACCTGTGCTTGACCCTATCTTGTCACATTCAGCCGGGCACTTGCTTCCACCGTAGACGAATGCAAAGGCCTAGAATATGCAGCAAATGCAAGGGGTAGAGAAGGGGCAGAGGAAAACGCGTTGATCATTATGTTACAGCAACATTGCTGTAGACAATGGGAAATGGTAGAATAATACTACGGTGGTTAAGGACGTAGCACCTATCTTTTACAAATGTATAAACTACTGAGACTGCATTTACATTTTAATCTATTATAGCTTGAGCAGGATACAAATTGTCATTGGTTTAGTAAACTTTAGAGCTTTTACAACACTTAAAAGCTTTATATAGAGCACTATTACTCATGTATTTACCTTCATATAAAAAAGCAAAACATCACACTTTTAATGAATAAAACTGTTATTGTAAGCACCTGGCAATGACCAATTTAAACGGTAATGTGTGGTTATATAAACATTGCTTTTTTCCCGGTACGAATGTTGTTAAAACTTCACTTCAGACGATGCCAACTTCCCGAATGTCTCAGGTCATCAAGTTCACGTTCTCATTTCATGATTGTTTTATGACCACAACTCAAGATTGACGATTGTTCTGGTGTGTCGTTTACCACACTGCCAGGCTCAACTTGTGCCGTGCCCATTCATTCCACTGCAATGCATCAATTTAAAACAGCTCCTATGAGAATTGGCGACTATTCACTACAAGTTATAGTTACAAATGAAAATAAATATAATCTTCCCTAAAAGCAAACACAATGACCCGTTTTTGCCAAATGTGTCAATTGTAAAGTATAATTCGGTTGCACGTGTTGTGTCTTTTGGTTGTCAGGGAGAGACGAACAGGCCACACATCAAAGTATGTCAAAGTGTATTTAGAAAAATGCAGTCCTGATCCACTGTGCGGTACTTTCGTTTCCAATGCATTCTAAACGCCAACTGAAAAAAACGTAAAAAGTTAAATCAAACCTCATATTATATTTTATGGTATGTTTGGAAGTCTTTTTACTGAACGAATTAAGGCTGCGCCGTTAAGCCAAGGTTCGTTGCAAACCTTTAAAGTTTCTTCTTTGTACTCCCACGAGGACAGGGAAAAGCATTTACCAGCAAGATGTTTTGAGAGCCCTCGTTATCCCAGCTCGCAGATCACTGAATCTTCCGTAAAGTTGGCGCAACTTTAATTCCACTGACACCACACGCGCGCCTAACCATTTCAACGCAAACATGCATGTGCAAGATCAAATATTACAATGTAGTTGTGGCCAAAGCCATTGACGTCCCCGCCACAAATCACCAACGCTTTCAATCCTCTGCCCAGTTGCCACAGCTGCTGCATATACAATAAGTAGGTGACCTCTATGATCTGTCCTAAGAGTATCGCGTGGATTCATCTCCGGGTCCTCCGATGTTTTCCCTCCACCTTTAGAAATACGAGATTAAAAGTGTTTGGGCTGCTATAAATGTTAACATGATAAGCCACTTCGTTGAGCTATCATTTGTAGCCAGGTCACTTCAGAAAAAGAGCTATAGAGCACAGTGGGCCTTACCTGATAAAATACAAATGGTAAATAGTTTGGTTTATCCCACCATCTGCCCTTGGGTATTAGTCTTGGTCACCGGACTCGTGGAAACCACTCCATTGCCCGTCTTGGAAAGTTGCCCTCTCCCCCAACTTGCACACGTCCTACCCAGTGCAATTTTTCTTGTATTATTTTTTTTATGCACAGGCAGGGCTAATTTCAAGTTACAATTCAACAAGTAAATCACCAAAATAGAGGGGGAGGGGGGGGTTTGAGCGCATAAATATATGAATGTGTCGTTATACCCGCCACCACCCGACACAGCCAATTAGTAAGGTTTGTCACATAAACAAAACATGCCAATTCTTTGCCGATTCAACACACCGGTGTGTTATGGATAATTAAAGTACGACGTTTCGTCAATTACAAACAGCCTCATCAGATGACACCAGAAGACATCTCAAAAAGTTGACATGTAACATTCGATAACACGGGCTATTTTTCACATGTACACCAATCCATTTGATTTTACTTTTAAAAAGTAAAGCTTATATTACTGTTTTACACTTTAGAAAAAATGTTTACATCCGCGGTAGCCAAGTAAATCAGCAGTCAGAGCAAAGCCAGGACTCGTCACTCAGAAGTCAAAGAAGTCAGAGCTGAGCCAGGACTCGTGACTCAGAAGTCAAAGAAGTCAGAGCTGAGCCAGGACTTCTGAGTTTCTGTATTCTGGACTCGTGAGACTCCTGACATTCTGGATTAAATCAGTTTCTTAAGTGCAGTGAATTGACTCAGCCTGGTCACTCGTGACTACACACACCGTAAAGTCATCGCATGGTGTATAGTGTAGAGGAATATTAATTTTGTTCAAGTCTCAGCCATATAGTATGCCAGAATGCTCGGCCGTCTCTATTAAATTGTGCCTTATTCAGCAACTGTACCCTTAGTTAAATTAATTGTTCTTAATTGCTTTAGGCCTAAGCAGTGCCATTTAAATTACCAACAGTCACATGAGGCCATGCTTGTTTACACAAAGCAAATACACTTTCAGAGAGCAGTTTGTTTGCAATATATTTTTTATTAGAGATAAAATAAAATTACCAAAATATCCACTGTTTCTTATACAAATAACATTCAATGCACGTTTACACTTAACATTGGTACATTAAAACAAAATATTTATCCGGGTGCAGGAAGATTAAGGTGACAATTTGTTAATGATCCTCCATAAATGAGAATAGGTTTTCCCCTTTTTTCTGGCAACAAAACAGGTGTTAAGATATTCTTAGTTTTTTCGGTAAAGTCACGTTGAAGAGAAACAACAAAATAATAAAATATATATTTGTTTTTCATATATATTTTATTATTTTGTTGTTTCTCTTCAACGTGACTTTACCGAAAAAACTAAGAATATGAATTACTGCAGTCACGAAAGCTTTAAATCAAAATTTAGGTGTTAAGATGTTAAAATACCAAACTTAAACCGTTTTACAAGGAATCATGTCTGCATTAACCACAATACTTGTGGTCAGAACGCAAACAAAAAACATCCTCTGATAATATATGCATTGTCCTTGAAACCGATTGGTCCACACCAGAGACAGCTTCCTTTCGATCCTAGTCTCAATTTCAAAGAAAATCCATATATTATCAGAGGATGTTTTTTATTTGCATTCTGACCACAAGTATTGTGGTTAATGCAGACATGATTCCTTGTAAATGGTTTCAGTTTGGTGTTTTAACATCTTAACACCTATTAATAAAATATATATAAAACAATAAAAAATTCTCACGACGTTTCGACCATAACTCAAACGGTCGTCTTCAGGTGTGTTGGTTCGCATAAATTTATTTTTAAACGGCGCATTTATTTATTTATAAAAAAACGTTAGCGCCACGCGCAGCGATTTGGCAGTTTACCCAGGACTAGTCCATCTATATTCTGAAAAGAGGAGGGGGGAGACGAAATTTTTTATAATGTATGCTGTCTGAAAGCCACTGTAAGCGTGAACAATCAATTAAGAACTGAAATGGTTTATCAAATCTTTCCAATGATTGCTAAGATAGAATCCATCTTCTCGGTTGAAATTGTCTCTGTGCTTGTATATGTGGATAGCCTCATGAACGAATCTCTCATGGAAGCCAGATGGCTTACAAAGAACCTCTGTCTTGGAAAAGTCAATGGCATGTGAGCCTACTGAATTAGAACAATGATCTGCTACGGCCGAGGTGTTGGTCCTACCGTGTTTAAGGTCTGCTTTGTGTTCACGAATGTGGCTTTCAGACAGCATACATTATAAAAAATTTCGTCTCCCCCCTCCTCTTTTCAGAATATAGATGGACTAGTCCTGGGTAAACTGCCAAATCGCTGCGCGTGGCGCTAACGTTTGTTTATAAATAAATAAATGCGCCGTTTAAAAATAAATTTATGCGAACCAACACACCTGAAGACGACCGTTTGAGTTATGGTCGAAACGTCGTGAGATTTTTTTTGTTATATATATATATTTTATTATTTTGTTGTTTCTCTTCAACGTGACTTTACCGAAAAAACTAAGAATATGAATTACTGCAGTCAAGCTTTAAATCAAAATTAAATCTTAACACCTTTCGATTTAAAGCTTTCGTGACTGCAGGGATTCATATTCTTGGTTCTTTCGATAAAGTCACGTAGAAGGGAAACAATAATAATTAATTGCTCACGCTTACGGTGGCTTTCAGACCGCATCCATCATTTTCGTCTCCCCCCTCCTCTTTTCCGAACATAGATGGACTCGTCCATCTGAACAAACTGTCAAATCGCTCTCCATGGTGCGAACGTTAAAAAAACCGCCACTTTTTTCAAATTTTCTTGCTGTGGTTTTCACACCTGATAATGATTGCTTGTGTTGCAGTCGAAACGTCTTGAGAATTTTATTGTTTTATATTTTTATTATTTTATTGCTTCCCTTCTACGTGACTTTACCGAAAGAACCAAGAATATCTTAACACCTGTTTTGTTGCCAGAAAAAAAGGGGAAAACCTCTTCTCATATTTTGGTACTGGCAAAGGAGGCCCCATGATCCTCCATAAATCTTGAGAGAGAAAAAATTACACACCCCATTGTAAGGCCGCAAACAATATGTTTCATGCCCCATAAAAAGTGGGCCCAATAGGTGTTGCCCTACAGATTTATTCATCTCCATATACATCAATAGCCACGCAACTCTCGGGGGGCGGGGGGGACGTTTAAAATGTTTAAGCCATTGTGTGTCCAACCCTGGGCACCGGAGGCAGCCATTGTGCCCCATTGCTAACTCTACACTGGGAAACTGTGACCTGTTTTTTGTGTTGCGACAAACCAGCTGCGAAATCTCCCCACCCCACCGACAGCCGAGGAATGGAGCTGCTGCAACAGCGAAGCTGCATCTTGTACAAAAGGTTTACACATTGAGGGTGCATTTTTATTACATCCAGCATTCATTGTGTTGCCGAGGAATGTGGAGAATGGCATGCTCAGTAAAACACATCTAGCTGTATATCCCTCATAGCTAGTGTTTAGTCATATCCCACCATCTCCGGCATTGTGGCCGTTATTTTTAAGATTAAATCTTAATTTATGTTTGTGCATAGTACTGTGTCGTTTGTTGGACCTAAATAACATAGTTCAACATTATGATTATTATTATTAGATCTGACCAATTACATATTGGAAAAGGGCATAGTTGTTGAAGGAAAGTGTAAAATTCCTCAGTGCAACATGGACAGCAAAAAGCGCCATGTCCGATTACAGACGCTGAAAGGGGTAAAGTGTAAGGTGCAGCCTTTGAGCTGCTGGCTCACGCCACAGATAGCAAAATAACCTCATCGGTGACTGCCTGCGCTGTGATAACCAAGCTAGCTCACATGTTGTTGAGTCATATTAACCCAACTTTCATAATCCAGCACAGTGGCTGCATGTCTGCATGGAAGTGAGTTTTATTGCCATGACGCACAGCCCAGAGAAATCTGGAATGGTCAGATAAAGACATGCGTACATGCAGATGATTTAAAGAAAAACACAAACATAAAAAAACACTGGGACCTCGCAATTGGCGAGTGACCATTACGCTGACACAGAGGCATGCGTCTGCATGTCAGCAGCACCACGGTTATTGCTACAATTGCTCACCTTTTGGCAAAACTTTGCAAAGATGATTGTCTCATTTATATTATAGTATGCATGCCCTCGTGAATTATATAAGTGTGTAGAACATGTCAGACTTTTTGCAAGGGCAGTTTTACAGATAAGCAAAACCTAAGGTTTGGGGGGAACTGTACAGTGATAATAAAGGGCTCTAATTTGGCACAAAAAGGATTTTATATATATAAATCATCGTAAACGAGTTTTAAGAATACCTCCCATTTAAAAATCTAATGCGAACATCGTGATATCTTTTTTTTTTAGAAGAATAGGGTAGAAAACCCTCCAACCAAAAGCGAGGCTGAAGTGGATCGATCTTAAAATGTTGAAAATGGGAGGCTTGTGTGCACTTGTATTCCGTGAATGTATTTCCGGGTTATTAGCTCTCCAGAGGAGTCTCTTTGTATTGACTTTTCGGCTCAGCCTCCGTGCGTGCACACGGGCGGGCCCCGTGTGTCCGTGTGAGCTCGCGTGCGCGCACATTACATAAACGCAACCTTGGCGTGTGATATATCACATGCAATCAAAATAGGTGTGCAACGCTTTTATCGATTTGTTTTCACATTTAAATAAGCACGACAGTGAAAATTGCATATTATTATCATCACAGTTTTGCAATTACACCACAACACAAAATAAAAATAACCCTTCAAGTTGCATTCGGTCCCATGTGGGAGAAGGCCCCATTGGTATGCCTGACTGTACCTCCCGCTCATTGCCTGGGTGATTGTGGGCTCTTCCCCCGCGGTAACAGGGGGGGTGGTGTCCCTCTGGGCTGGGCACTCGCTGCTGCTGCTGCTGGTGCCTCTTGGCCCCTGAAAGGAAGGGAACTTGTATAAACAAACAAGCAGGCGATCACACAGCATGGAAATGACTGCAGTGGACGGTAGTAACTCATCGGCAAAGAACGTGTTTTATTCAAGACTGCATTGGAAAGACATTCGCTTATTACAGAGGTCAATATTTTGCGCACTGCACTGACTGCGGTTTGTCAATCGGCAGGTCGCGTGTGGTGGTGTAGAGGGTGGGTACAACCATCTCTTCCAAGATGTCTGGCCAGCGTGGAAGAGTAGGCCAAATACCCTCTAGCGGGGCTCTCTAGAGTTCCCTCTAGCGGGGCTCTCTAGAGTTCCCTCTAGTGGAGGGCCTTCCGCCAGCATCGGCATGAGCAAGCAATCGCAGGGCCGAACCTTTACTTACCACAACAATATCAAATCACGTACTCTGTATATACAAGTACTCTGTTCGATATACTGTAACCGAGTAAACACATCCACCGTGTGCGTGTTATACATTTGGATATGACTAATTATATTCTAGGGTGGAGTGTTGGCGCAGTGATTTACGTATTGCGCTATGAACCTGTCAAAATTAGTTCAATAACTGGCCACAGCTAACACCAGTGGTGACTGATATATTAAACAGAGCTGGGCAACCCCTTGACCAACCCACGCTGACGCTCATGGCGAAGTATGCCTAAACAATCGGCAAGATCAAAATGCATGGGGAGGCTTACATCCAGCAGTAGATTGATAAACGGCCGTACAACTCGTGCAGAAGAAGGGCAATGTATGCATGTACACGTTCAGGCATTGCATAATGTGCACAGGCAGCCGATGAAATATGCACTTTCAAGCGCTACACAATCTGCACAGACATCCTGTGTACTAATGTCCGAAAGAACATCAGGAAAATTACGTTTCTACTGCGGATGTCTTTTATCTGCAGTACGGCACAGTAAACACAACATGCACTGCACGGGTCTCTTGGGGTGTGCCTTGATTATAAATTGCACTGCCCGTGGCTGCTCTGGTATTTCACCGGGTCCTCGAGGACAGCCACAAAAAAACAAGATTTTTCATCCTGAGTGTTATTCCTGGTAAGATATTCCGATGATAAAAATAATAAGAACACATTACTTTCAAAAAGGGAGATCGCTTACGTGCTGTGACAAAAAAAAACGGATTCCTTAATATAAATCGGCGACGTGCACTGTCGTGAACTCATTTCGCAGCGTATTTCTTTGAGAAGACAGGCTCGAGCAAAATTCCATCAAGTGGGGTTTCTACAACACACCCTCCCTCTTCAATACATTCCAATGGGCGCTTTCTCCAAAGAGATTGAGACTCCCAGCCACCCTTAACGCCCCCCCCCCCTGCCACCCTTGACAACACAATCTTTGCCTCTCACTCCCAAGGCCCTCTCACTCCCTCTCTTGAAACCCCCAATCTCAATCCCCTCGATGATATATGCTTAGTTTTAAACTCATTAATTCTGACGAACACAAGTTGCTGGCATCAAGCGAGGCTCGGAATTCCAGATGTAGGAGTGACCTATTGCGCCGCCACCCAACCCACTCTCATATGAACACGTTTATTGTAAAGCTTGTTTACCACTTCATTTCATCCGGTGAGGCCGGCTCGCACTGCCCATTGTGATTCATCACGTCGATTGACGCTAGGTTATTATTATTATGAACTTTACAAATGCCAATAAAATAGGATCGTCCAATTCACAATCGCTAAATTGCATTACGTGATTATATTAGCTGGCATTAATATAAAAAAAAACAGTTATCAATGGATTTATTATCATGATACAATTACACTATGACACAGATGTCACTCTCTTTTTTTTTTTCGTCTGGGCATTCGCTCGAGTCACCCAGACATTTAAAGGGTAGGCAGGGTCAAGCCCATTTGAGACCTAACGGAACTTGAGATCAACAAAATAAATGCTGTCCACTAGAGGGAGTTCTAGAGAGCCACTCTGAAGGACAGTTTGGCATACCTTTCCACGCTGGTCAGACGTGCTGGACGGGGTGGGAGTATCCATCTTTTACCCCATCACGCATGACTCGCCGATCGTCTTAACTATGGTGCGCCCGTTTAACACGGCGCCTTTCTCGACCAAAATCATCCGTAACACGCCGGTGTGCTGTACTAGTAACGAATTGGCATGTTTTGTTTACGTGACAAACATGACTAATTGGCTGTGTCGGGTGGTGGCAGGCTTAACGACGCATACTTACGCAATCTAACACAATAACCTCTATGATAGATATGGTGTACCCACTTATATGGCTGGTTTATACTGCTAATTGTATACCAAATGCAATTTTCAGCAATTTTTTCTCAGTCTTTTGTGAGTCTTGTGTCTGTATGAATTGATGTGATGTACCTGTAGTTAAGAAAATTAAATACTAGCTAGCTGACCACATTCACCATTTAGGATACATGTTAAATTAATTATAATTAATTACTTCTAAGTTGATTAGAGGACAGATTAACGTAACAATAATGCTTCAAGTAGTCAGGACTGGATTCTTAAAATCGACATAGTTTAAATTGAAATGCAACATCTATTATCTGTACAAACTGTGAGAAGAAATTATTACTTCCTGTAAGCTTACACAGTCAAGCATGGACTTTGATAAACAGCTGTAAGCTAACATTTATACAGACGTGAGATGTGCTCCTGCATCTGCACAGGTGAATGTTGCCTGGTTGGGAGTGTGTGCCCAGGTGACATCTACCTGGCTGGGAGCGTGTGCACAGGTGATGTCCACCTGGCTGGGAGTGTGTGCCCAGGTGACATCTACCTGGCTGGGAGCATGTGCCCAGGTGACATCTACCTGGCTGGGAGCGTGTGCGCAGGTGATGTCTACCTGGTTGGAAGAGCGTGCGCAGGTGACACTTACTTGGCTGGGAGGGTGTGCGGAGGCCTGGGTGTGACAGGAGGGGCTTTATGCTGTATCTGCAGAGGTTGTAGTGTCATCGAGCCGGAGTGTGGACGCGGATAGCTGGGTGCGGTCGCAGTTGGGGATGTGGAGCTCATTCTTTTAGAACCCACAGGTAGAGGAGGAACATATTTCTTTCCCAACATTGGTGGCTCCGAGGTCCTCCGCTTTTCCTTCATAGTGTGCGGCATATCGCCCTCACCATCCTGAACAAACACGAGCAGCAGATTTAGGCCCCACCGGGCCTCAACGCGCCCACCAACCACTCCACGACCTCAGGGATACAATACGATGCAGCGGTTTTGCCTCTCACACAATTTCACTTAAAGGTCAAAAGGTAAACTAAACTCAACTTTTTACTTTACCAGGTAAGGCCCAATGAGCTATATAGCTCTTTTCAGAAGCAACCTGGCCACAAGTGATAACTCAACAAAGTAGCTTATCATGTGGACATTTATAGCAGCCAAATACTCTAAACGCACGTTTCCAAATGTGGAGGGGGAAAACCGGAGGACTCTCGGAGAAAAATCAATGCGACCACTGGGAGAACACGCAAACTCCAGATGTCGGGATCGATCCCACGACCTCCTGCACACCAGGCGAGGTAGTTAACATCTCGCCACCACGGCGTTAAAGGTGCAGCCCTGCAATTATTTTCTCACGGCACTGCTGCAAAAGGTCCTCCAATACAGGGAGCTCTGGAGAGCCACTCGAGTGGGTGTTTTTGGCCAACTCTTCACTGCTGGCGAGACATTTTGTGAAGAGGTGGGAGTAGCCACGTTTTACCCGACCACAAGCGACTAACTGTGGGGAACCCATTTATACCACTGGGTGGACAGAGGCAGCGGGATTTAAGAAACTTGCACCAATGTTTCAACCTGCCACACCCAGAGATCGAATCGAACCAAACCGATGACCTCTGGATTGCAAGTCCAGTGTGCCAACCAATACACAACGGAAGCAACCCCTAGAAAGGGTTATTTAACAATATAAGGGCTACCGAATCAAACAACAGAATCTGTTCACAATAGACAAAGGTGAAATGGAAATACAACCCAAAATGGACTTAATGTACGCAATACAAATCTACACAAAAAAAACGATAAATTCTTCATACACAGAAAACGTATTTTTTTTCTTCTTCTTTGGTTCTTTCGGTAAAGTCACGTAGAATGAGAATAAAATAATAAATTGATAAAATAAAATAACACAATAAAATTCTCACGACGTTTCGGCCACAACACAAGTGGCCTTCATCAGGTGAAGGGACGAGACTGTCTGGAGGCTTGTGTTGTGGCCGAAACGTCGTGAGAATTTTATTGTGTTATTTTATTTTATCAATTTATTATTTTATTCTCATTCTACGTGACTTTACCGAAAGAACCAAAGAAGATGAATCCTTGCAGTCACGAAAGCTTTAAATCAAAACGTATTTTTTTGTTACGTAGTGCATCATTGGAATAAGCAACTGTTTTCTTCAACACTCAATGCAGGCGACTCACTTATTGCAATATTAATTTAATTTTCTAAGCTAAATAGATTTTTGCACATCTACATCAGAAAGCATCTGTACAGAGCATTCGACATTTGGATAACCAGGACCAGCAAGCTCTTGAGTGACCAGTGTGCTCAGCCCAGATTGGTTTCTGTATTCACCAGTCTCCACGTAGTGTTCCCTCTCTCTCTCTCAAAAAGGTAGATGTAGTATTTATACTTTTGCTCTTTTCTCCTAATTACATTTCAAGTGAACCTTTCCATTTGGAACTCTTTGAGTGTGCGGTGCATCACCCTGTCTCAGACAATGGCCAACCGATGAGCATGGTTGGCTTCGTAGGGTGTGAAAGAGGTTCAAAATACATTCCTTCCTCACATGTTCCAGAGTGTTCATTACAAATATAACTATTTTTTTCTTAAATTCCAGGCCGAAATACATCCAATTATATTCTTGGTTCTTTCAGTAAAGTCACGTAGAAAGGAACCAATAAAATAATAAAAATATAAAACAGTAAAATTCTCACGACGTTTCGACTGCAACACAGGCAATCATCATCAGGTGGTTTTCACACCTGATGATGATTGCTTGTGTTGCAGAATTTTCTTGTTTTATATTTTTATTATTTTATTGTTTCACTTCCACGTGACTTTACCGAAAGAACCAAGAATGTGAATCCCTGTAGTCACGAAAGCTTTAAATCAAAATACATCAAATTACTTTTAAAAAAAAACGTATCTAATGCGTTGGTGTGTTTTTTTTTGTGTGCAGTAACTGGGCTAAGTTCGACTTGAGAACCCAGCTGAAGGCATGAGTGGCTGAAAAACCAGAATTCAAACTCAAAGGTGCTGGCTCAAAACTGTGAACTTCCCAGTTCACCGGCGACGAAAACAAAACACACAATAAATTGGAACTGCACAATAGTCTCGGCAACTCCACCTCTCGTTCAAAGTTACACGGATGTATTCATACTCATGTATTTCAAAGCATAGGTGGCCGCATCATTAGGTCTATTAAACATCGTAACGGTATCAGCGGATTCAACACCCGTAAGTTGCGGAGACCTAGTCTGACACTGGACTAACAGCTATCATGCAATACTCTGGAATGTATGATTAGGGTACCATATTGTAGAGCCTACATTGTTTTCTTACTGTCATTGATCATCTGCATACTGCGTATTTCTCTCTCTCTCTCATTTTCTTGATCTAAATGTATTTAATTCTCTCTTCTACTCTCTCTCTCTGCATCATTATCCTCTGGGGTCTTTTTATTTGAGAAGGTATGCTTTTAAAAGTTGCCATCACAGCTTCCGTACACGTGTACAACAACACGTATGAATGCGAAACTGTCTTCCATGAATACAGTAACCAAACAGGTAACACTGACCCACAGGTGAGTTCAGTTAAACTACCAGCGATTGCAATGTTAGGCACGTTGAATGCAGATTCGAGTGTGTCATCATGGTGAATGGAGATTCGAGTGTGTCATCATGCATCATGGTGAATGGAGACACTAAGTGATGTCGGTAGCAGTAGCAAAAAGAATTCAAAATATTTATCAATAACACTGTGGCCTTAAAATAAAATATGTAATTGGCACCATTTTAGGCAATGGCTCTTCTTCGTAGCACAAGAAGGACCACTGCTCGAAATGTAGCCGATTACAAACTTTTTTCTTTAAGGCCACAGTGTTTTTGGCAAGTGTGTTGAGTCTTTTTGTTAATTGTGTTTGTGTATCACTGACAACACAGCAGCATCGCCAAATCATTTGTTTAGCAGCAGCGCTGGGGAAAGCAACATTTCAAAACACCGCAATGCTTACCACAGCAACTGTGTAATTGTGCTCTCTGCAGACACAATTTAAATTGTGGTCCTGGACGGTTACGTGAGGAATCAATCTAATTGGTGAAAGTACTGTCAATCAATTGAAACCCAGAGCCTTTTTTTTACGACTGCTGTTGTGAAATGTTTTCTCGTATTAAAACGGCAAAGTTGGTCAGTTGCTCTCTTCAATGGCACCTGCTGTGATTGTTCATAAATCGACTCTTACCCAACAAGACAACACAGCTAACCACGGTGTGCGCTCAGTGCTCTGTCCCCTTACTCCCTCGGAGGCTTGGGAAGTGAGAATGTCAGTCACCTCGATGTCTGCCTCTGCTCCGCTGCTCAGGCTCTGCAAACTGCGAGTGCTTGAGCGGCTGCTGACGGAGCCTGTGGACACAGGGCAACACAACACACACGCGCGCGCGCGCGCTTTAGGACTCCACCTTGGGAGAAAATAACACTCAGTGCTAGGAATCGTGAGAATTGTCTATCTCCATCAAACGCTGTAAAGACAATAGGGCACCAAGTACTTTGAGGCGGTAAATGCATTCTTAGATTGGCAAACAAGACGAATCAATTCCCTTACCTCGGCTTGTGCCGAGATCCTAATCATATCGTGACTCGATTACTGAAACTCTGTTCTATGGGGCCAACCCCAAATCCATCTTATCCAAATCTCAAATTATTCAAAATTGATGCTGCTCACCTGCATCCAAAAATGAGACCTACATCATCCCAATACTTAAATCCCTCCACTGGCTCTCAATCAACTTCAACATCATATCCACACCGTGTCAAAATATTCTCCATCGACTTGCCCCGGCCTCTCATCTCACTCTACTCCACGCATTCTCAATTTCCGCAATTAAGGCATTCTGTCAAAAGCCCCCCGGCCAATCTTAACTTTGAGCAGATGGTGGCTCATTATTCTCTGCTGCCCCATACTCGGAAACCCCCCTTCCCCAGTCGTTGTTGACTCCCTGGAGCCTGTTCAAGCCCAAGCTCAAAATCTTCTTTTTTATCTACCTACAGTGAAGGAAAAAAAGTATTTGATCCCCTGCTGATTTTGTACGTTTGCCCACTGACAAAGAAATGATCAGTCTATAATTTTAATGGTAGGTTTATTTGAACAGTGAGAGACAGAATAACAACAACAAAATCCAGAAAAAAGCATGTCAAAAATGTTATAAATTGATTTGCATTTTAATGAGGGTAATACGTATTTGACCCCCTCTCAATCAGAAAGATTTCTAGCTCCCAGGTGTCTTTTATACAGGTAACGAGCTGAGATTAGGAGCACACTCTTAAAGGGAGTGCTCCTAATCTCAGCTTGTTACCTGTATAAAAGACACCTGTCCACAGAAGCAATCAATCAATCAGATTCCAAACTCTCCACCATGGCCAAGACCAAAGAGCTCTCCAAGGATGTCAGGGACAAGATTGTAGACCTACACAAGGCTGGAATGGGCTACAAGACCATTGCCAAGCAGCTTGGTGAGAAGGTGACAACAGTTGGTGCGATTATTCGCAAATGGAAGAAACACAAAAGAACTGTCAATCTCCCTCGGTCTGGGGCTCCATGCAAGATCTCACCTCGTGGAGTTGCAATGATCATGAGAACGGTGAGGAATCAGCCCAGAACTACACGGGAGGATCTTGTCAATGATCTCAAGGCAGCTGGGACCATAGTCACCAAGAAAACAATTGGTAACACACTACGCCGTGAAGGACTGAAATCCTGCAGTGCCCGCAAGGTCCCCCTGCTCAAGAAAGCACATATACATGCCCGTCTGAAGTTTGCCAATGAACATCTGAATGATTCAGAGGACAACTGGGTGAAAGTGTTGTGGTCAGATGAGACCAAAATGGAGCTCTTTGGCATCAACTCAACTCGCCGTGTTTGGAGGAGGAGGAGGAATGCTGCCTATGACCCCAAGAACACCATCCCCACCGTCAAACATGGAGGTGGAAGCATTATGCTTTGTGGGTGTTTTTCTGCTAAGGGGACAGGACAACTTCACCGCATCAAAGGGACGATGGACGGGGCCATGTACCGTCAAGTCTTGGGTGAGAACCTCCTTCCCTCAGCCAAGGGCATTGAAAATGGGTCGTGGATGGGTATTACAGCATGACAATGACCCAAAACATACGGCCAAGGCAACAAAGGAGTGGCTCAAGAAGAAGCACATTAAGGTCCTGGAGTGGCAAAGCCAGTCTCCAGATCATAATCCCATAGAAAATCTGTGGAGGGAGCTGAAGGTTCGAGTTGCCAAACGTCAGCCTCGAAACCTTAATGACTTGGAGAAGATCTGCAAAGAGGAGTGGGACAAAATCCCTCCTGAGATGTGTGCAAACCTGGTGACCAACTACAAGAAACGTCTGTCCTCTGTGATTGCCAACAAGGGTTTTGCCACCAAGTACTAAGTCATGTTTTGCAGAGGGGTCAAATACTTATTTCATTAAAATGCAAATCAATTTATAATATTTTTGACATGCGTTTTTCTGGATTTTGTTGTTGTTATTCTGTCTCTCACTGTTCAAATAAACCTACCATTAAAATTATAGACTGATCATTTCTTTGTCAGTGGGCAAACGTACAAGATCAGCAGGGGATCAAATACTTTTTTCCCTCACTGTATGTCTGACTGCCTCTCTGTAATAAAAAATAAGTATTCCCATTATATATGTCCAGAGTCTTGAAATGGAGTTGCATTGTATAAATCAACATTATAGTAATTGTACAACAGTGGGTGCGTAGCTACTGACATCCTCAGATGCCAGGCCCACGTGTGTTTTAATATTGCATATACTTATTTTCAATGACACATCACTGGAAATGTTTTATGTACATTTCATGTCTTATTTTAGAAAACATACGAGATACAAATACGTGTGTTAAGGTGTGTCTGATTATTAAGCGTCCTCATTTTGTAAAATAATGCTTAGTGTTATCGTGGAGGGTGGCTGAGTGGCAACAAGTACTGTATAGTGTGCTTACCTCTTAAGTCAAAAGCATTGAATTTAAAGCTCTCATTTAATCACCATTGTGTGAGACCATCCTTGGTGAGGATGGTCTCACACAATGGTGCACAAGCATAATCTATTGAATCCCCACATGGCATTGCCAAATTTTTATGGAAAATCCACTCGTAATTACTCAATGCCCTCAACAGTTGAAGGGGTACAGGCAGCCTCGTCAAATTCCCCTCCGCAGCTCAATACAGAGATTATATAGGGAAATGCTGCGGTGACCCCTCAGTGCAATGATGCAATTCAAAGCAGTGCTGGATTTCTGTGCCAGAGAATATTAAGCGCCGGGTAAACCCAACCGTGTGCCATAAATACAAGGCTCTCTCTCTATGGTTACTGGCCACACCTTTATGCATGTGAAATAAAAGTCCCTAGAGCCAACACAGGTGTTAAGCAATGCACCGTGGATAGTTCTATTTTGGTAACAGTTATTTAGTATTGAGCCTGCAGTTGGGCTCAGCAAGTGCCCAGAGCCCCATTAACAGCGTGCACTGTAGTCTATGAGACACTCACTAAGCGCAGTGGGGTACTGAACCATTCGGATGCCTTCTGAGCTTGTGATGTTTGTGATTAATTGGATACAAAGTAATTCTGCAGCGGGATGATAGGAAGTTGCAATGCACATTTCACAACCTCACAATATTGGAAAATTATTTCTTATTTTTTTATACGTTCGTGTATTTATTAATGCAATTGGGTCTCATTATTTTTTTTATTTCACTTTGCAATAATTGACAGCAACAGTCATAAAAAAACTAAAATTAGATAATATTCTGCTTTGTATATAAACCTTATCAATGTAATGAATTGAAACACGAACAATATAAGTAACAACACTCATCTTTTTTAATAAAATAAATTAAAATGTATATATATCGTATACATATATAAACCCATGAGTTTATGAACATATTGTCACGTGAAGTTATATTAAAATGTGCCTTTAAAATTCAGTTCCTGGTTCTCAATATATTTTCGTTTTCTAATTATAAAGATACATCACTGGTAAACAGGATAAATGATGGACACATTTGGTTAATTCAGGACTGAAAACTCTCTGAAGAAACCCTCTGTAAACACTATCTAGTTTGTTGTAAAGAGCTCCTGGTTATTCAGGTCACATGTTTCAGACGACATTTTCAACAGACCACCATTTTACCTTCACCAAATGTTTGCTCAATTTTGCAATAATTATCTTGCTAATTGAAAATTATCTGTACGTAGGCCAGCTCTAATTGCTGCTTCGTCCACATGTGCGTGGCGATATCAACGCTTTGGAATGTCATTACCTCTCTGGTCACATATATTAGGAGACATGTAACTTGTGCAAAATGCTCACATATAAGGAGACATGTAACTTGTGCAATATACTCTGATGAACTAAACAAAATTGGTGATACTGCATTGGCAGTGGTGTGAAAGCACAACAAACAAAAATCCTCAACACATCCGTCAATAACACTGTGGCCTTAGAAGGACAAATACAAACAAGATGACATTTTGTTGAATGGTCCTTCAAAGCGCATAAATACGGAGGGCCAGAGAAACTAAGCGGATAAGTTGAAGAATGCACTTTACACCAATGGATCTGACACTAATTAAATTCCTATGCCAATTTACAGTTACCAGTTAACTATTCATGTCAGTTTAAAAACTGTTCATCAGCAAACATAAAAAATGTGATTCTTATTAGTTCCAATGGTGGAAAGATGTGGTCTCCAACTCGTATCCCCTCTATCTCTCTGGCCTCTGTATTTATGTACTTAAGGGCCATTGTTTGAGACGTTGCCTTTTAATGTTTTCTGATAAGAGAGTTTTGTCAAGCTTTTAATAGTAAATTAATTTTAAGTATGTAGTGCTGTATGCCAATTCTGACTGCATTGTTATTATCACTGTAGGTGTATAATTTAAATGTATATATTTTGCTTATTCCGCTATAAGGATATTATACAGTGATAGCAAAATCTTAATTGATCTCTAGCTTTTCTGCACACACGGGGAATGGCTTCCTCCATGCCGAGTAAGTTGTATTGCTTGTTAAAATCAATCTCTTACCAATTCACATGCAGCACAACCATCCCTATCCATATTTATAACCGCTTTGTCGATACAATGTCAACTTCTTTTGTGATGTCCCACAAATTCAGAATGGAGAAGCATAATTTATTATGAGAACACGTGCAGCTATGGGTTAAAACAAATTGTTATCATTAAAATACAGTCGAACACTTTACTAGAAAATGTGTATGTTGAGCACATTGTATAGAGAAGAAGTGGAATGCACAAATTACAAAATAAAACTCACATTCGTCAGTAACCTTGCCATAACGAGGGGGGGGAAAGGTGATTGTTTTATTTTTCTCTTTCTCGCAGATGTCCTGACACGTGCTGAGGTTTTTGTTGGGCACCACTGCTAATGCAGTATCGCACATGTTTTGGTTAATTGTAAAGCGGAACGAGTATTTTCATTTAAATTGATGAAAATTTTTCTTCTTTGGTTCTTTCGGTAAAGTCACGTAGAATGAGAATAAAATAATAAATTGATAATATTCTCATATTATTGTGTTATTTTATTTTATCAATTTATTATTTTATTCTCATTCTACGTGACTTTACCGAAAGAACCAAAGAAGATGAATCATTGCAGTCACGAAAGCTTTAAATCGAAAATTGATGAAAATTTCTCCAGAATATCAGAGAGACGTAAGCTTGCTGTAGAACAGGTGGCTCGTGTAGCAGCAGCCGCAAACACATGGTGGCGTCAAAGACAGAGATCCGCCGTGTAGCCGATAACAGACTGTAACGTAGGTCAAGTGCTACACAGCAACATCGACCAGCAGCAGCAGCGGACTGGTTTCAAAAGCCTTACCTGGAATCACATTCACCTGATCAGCTTCCCGTTCAAGCAGGTGCTTGGTAGATAGCCACAATCGCTGAGCATTACAGCTCTACTCACCGGTAACAATTACCACCATGCTACATTCCCGCTCCGTCATTCGTTGTTTGCTTTTGTGGTCCACGGTAACTGGCTGGATGGAGGGCGATTTGACGATGAAGACAAATATCCCCCGTGTATCCTTAACAAACTGTTGGGGCAAGTGCTGTTAGCGAGCACCTATGAAGGCCGGAACGGCGCACGAGGGGGTGGGTGGCCAGCACTACGCCCGACCGCCTTTGTCTCGCTAGTCGCGATGTTTACACACCACACCAGGTACTCATTTGAGGCTGAGTCGACCTAGGGGAGGCCCAAGACCGGTTCAAATAATCGTCACCGGTGTTGGCCGTGAGCGGGAATCGAACTCGGTCGCTGGGTTCATAGCACAGCGTAGCGCTAACCGCTACACTACCGCTCCCCACATGAAGTCCCAACCCATCTGAAGTCACACACACAGACATTTCTGAATAAAGGTTAAAAAAAAGTTATATTACATCCCTCCGGTTGGCAAATTGTATTTTTAATACGTTTTATAGCTCTTGCTTTAAGATGGTGTTTTAACCTTGCTCCCTCTTTCCGTGGGCAATTTAACATTTCAAATTTATCCGGAAATCACTGGAATAAAAAAATTGCATACGATATTTTAGAGCCAAACATTACAGCTTTGCCAATGTCAGAATGCTGTCCCTGTATAAAACCATGTGAAAACGCTTGAGTTAAAATTTCTAAAGACATAGGTGGTAGGTTAGGTATTTGCGAGGTTCATGGTGAATGTATGAATGTTGCAATTTCTTCCACACAAATATCAAAAGCTTAAAGAGGTTTTTTTTTTGTTATCAATGAACACTCTGTTTCTGTCCCCATACATCATATATACACAGATACACTAAACTGGAGGTCTAAATTAGTTTTTTAGTTGGGCCAATTAAAATTACATAAATGTGTCATATTGGAGATATGAATATAATTTTATTGCACAAAGGCTAGCTCATACATGCTATGTACCACAGTGCTTGGTTATTAGGTGCAGTGCTGTGCTGTATATTGTACCACTATTATAAGAACATCGCAGGCTAGTGGCGATGCATCAGTTTTTGTGATTTATACGCGCAATAGAAGCACATTCTGCAATCTCGGGGTGAGCCATTCTGCATGGCCAGCAGTCCCGCAAGATAATGATATCATCGCGTTTACTAGTTTACGAGGATGGCCGTGGCTACTGGAGTACAAATATTAAATGATGACAATTATCAACATTACGTTATTTAAGTTATTATATATCATAATAAAACAAAGCAAACTAGTGCAGCCTGTGTAGTTATATCTTCATTGCTGCCTGATATGATAGGAACATTTATAACTATTTTTGAATTGGTAATCTAAACAATAATATGGGCACTCATTCAGCTCTCTTTTGAGCTGGTGATCTAGACAAGGGTGAGAGCATCGTACATGTCATTTGAGTCACATGACATGCAAGGCATTATGGGAGTCGTGCCTTCCTGCTGTTTGTGAGCAGCAGCACACCCTTGCGTGCTGATTTTTGCATCTTTGCAGCCTGAATTAATTTTCCCCTTTCCGTTGTTTTTTTCTCATAATTTCCCGGTTTTTTATTTTATATAATATCGTATTTTTAAAGACATAACAAGCACGTCCACCTAAATACATAAATGCAGGCAATGACTCCTTTTACAATATCACCATCATCATCATCATCATTAATTACTGTCTTTTAATTGAAGAATGTGTAATGTATAATTGTCTAATGCATATAAAATTAGGTTTTCGTCACAGCAGACCAAGCACACACATGTGGTTTAAGTTTGTGGTGTGAACCTTTATGCAGTGTTTAAAGAGTCCACCCATGTCAAACAATCACCCTCTCTCACTACATTCCACTCTTCTCCTAAAGCCAAATATTCTCTCTTGCCCACCCTTTCTTCTCTCTTTGCTGTCCTCTTCACTCGTACGAACGCCTTTCCTGTTCCCAACTCCCCATGGTCACTCATCATCAATCCACTCATCTCATTTCTATCTTCGTTTATTCCACGCATCGTCACCGTCACCACCACCACTACCACCTCATTTTACATATATCCCATCCACTCATCTCGTTTCATCTAGCCAACCATGTTGTACTATTGTTAGTTCACTGTGTAGTGCCTTGGTTAAGGCGCTATATAAATGTATAAGATATCATGAGGCAATATGGGCACTCGTCAATAAGCCAAGTGAGTCACCGCTGTAGGTGGCGCAAAGGTGCGACTACCCAACATTGTCCTGACCCATCCGGCGAGCATGGGAGATCAGGCTGATTAATCCTCAGCGGATCATCCCTTGCATGTGAACGCATCACAAAACGTACCACCGGAGGTGGCGACAATGTCACAGTATTAAACTGCAAATGTATTCCACACGCCGCATCAATTCTAAACGAGACTCACTTGTTGTGCTGGAGGTAGAGTCGCGCATGGGACGGTGACGGAACGCCCCCTGGCTCGGAAGAGGAACCTCTTTTGACGGCAGAGATTCATACAGGCCGACAGCTATATCCTCATTCAAATCTGTAAAGGACAACAAAAAAATGATGAGAAAATCCATTACAAAAGGATGCAGATGACCAAGTTCCAAAGAAATGCACGTGTGGTCGTTTGATTGTTTTAGACCACCGACTACAAAAATTTAGAGAATGTGGCCAAGCAATAGGCATCAAGAAAGACAAATACAAATGTAGACTGTATTCTTTGGGTCTTTCGGTAAAGTCACGTAAATAGGTTCAAAGAAAATAACAAAAAACTACGACGTTTCGATCGCAACACAAGCGGTCGTCATCAGGAATAGGGGGTTAGCTTCGAAAAGCAAACTGTTTGTAAAGGTCTGAAATGGGCGTAGTCCAAGTGTCAGCAGCATGGGCGCGGCAGCTGCACGTGGTAAAAACAACTAAACACATTCCTTATCCTGAGTTTGTTTCTTGGCCATAGCTGACATCAGTGGTGAGTGCTGTCTGATGAATCCTAGGCTCCCCTTTCACCAACCCACACTGACCAGCGTGGTGATGTATGGTGAAACAACCCCCAATAAGCAGCGTGGTGAAGTATGGTCAAACAACTCCCAATGACCAGCGTGGTGATGTAGGGTCAAACAACCCACAATGACCAGCGTGGTGAAGTATGGTCAAACAACCCCCAATGATCTGGTCAGCAACCAAAATTACAAGAGGCATTTTTTTCTTCAAATTTGGTAAAAGTAAATAAATCAATATTTCAAGAGCCACAATGCAATGCGAATAGCATCACGAAGCAGCCCTCAAAGACACGTATGCGGTTCCAGAGCCACAGGTTGCCAGCCCCTGCCCGTGACCAACAAAGGGTGCGTGAAGGACTTCATCCATAACGTCTCTTTAAAAAAAGAGACATTATGTTCTGAGCAGAGACACCAAGGTCAGGGCTGTTCACACATTTCATTCACCCAACATTCCTGTGTTTGTGCAAATATATATAAAAAAGCCTATAAGGTGCACTCACCCATTAAAATAAACAGCCTGTATTTAATTATCAGTTCACATGTGGAACTAGCATGCCTCTCATCCAGGATGTTTCCAGAAGGCCAAGTGAGGCATGCTCATAGCAGATAACTGCATTATACAGCTCCATATAATTTGCGTGAACCATATAATCCTAACATTTATATTGGGGACTTGGAAAAATATGGTATCTTTTCATTCTGTTGTGTTCATTTGAATGACATTGCATACTTTGCACATGCACAAACGCAGTAGCAAAACTTGCACTCACTGGGGCAATAAATTACACATGCAAAACGTTTTATAGGTTTAAATTACACAGCTCACCTTTGAGCTCAAGGGTAGCTGGATGAATTGTAATTTCAGGATCTGTGCCATGTGCTTACGTCACTGCATAGAGCAGCATGCAGTGAACTACATGGAACATTCATCTGGCTGCGCATCAAAGCCATATCCATGGCAAGCTGCCGAATGCTAGTAAATGGCCAAAATACACTGTCTGTAATATCAAAGCTTACTTACACGTACACAAATATTTATTTCCTTCAGATGTGGAAATAAAAAGGACATTTATTTTTACTCGAAACACCTCTCCCGAGTGGAATATATCCACGTGAGTTGTTTTTTTTAGCTATCGTGCCATACGGTGAAACTCATGTTGCTTTTATTGATAACATATATGCTTGGCAGTTTTCTTCAGTGGAAGCAAGCTGTCACTGAGAACAATTGTACAGATCCAGCATCCGAGTGAGAATGTAAGCGATAATCTAAGTTGTAAAAAAACTGACAGATGTGTTCAACATCACATGCTCACAACTTTACGATGGCATGTGATGGAATTCCAGGTTTTTTTTTAAGTAGAGTGATTATACGTGACCTTCCATTACTCTCTTCACCAACCCAGTGACCAGCGTGGTTAAGCACGATTAAGTCATCCTCATGACCCACATGGTTTGGAGACGTCCTCATCCAGCAATCGGATAGATAATTGAGCTGTATATGTACATTATGTTACAGAAATTAGTGATTAATACATTGAGGCTAACTCACAAATACCCAGCTCCATTTACACAATGCCTCCACAGCACTTTACATATAATAACCCAACCCTTAACAGATTCGATTGAATACAACTAGAAAGGATTAAGGCAATACAAAAGGCACGTAACCTACACAGACGTCTATGCAAGTGAAAAACAAATGTTTTAAGACGCGACCTAAAAGACTGAACCCACTGACAGTCCCTTATATTCTGGGGATGAGCATTCCACGGATAAGTCACCTGGCAGCGACTCCATATACGGTTACATGAGGAATGTACCACACAGAGTTTTTCGCATTCACCACAGTATATCTTTACGTCTCAAGAGTAATTGTTTTCATGAAAGCATCCTGAGCAGTGGACCCACACATTACCTGGCTGCTTTAGACTGGGTTCTTTTTTTCTCCGGGCGATGCTTTCCCGGATGTTTTTAAGATTTTCCTGGAGATATAAAACAAACACGCCAACATAAACTGAGACCTGCGTCGAATTATACACAATATGAAACAGCCTAATACAAATTAAGAATATTTAATTTGATGACAATTTACATATGAGCGACGTGAACTATACTTTCCTGTTCGTCATGATATTTCAATTCATAACGCAAATAATTCATCTCACTGGTCAGGGAAAAAATAATGAATGTCTTTCATTACATATGATGTAATATTATATAATAAATGAGCCAGAATGATAATATATTCTCCGATCATGATACACTTGAGATTTAATCCATCAAACATGCTCATTACATGGAATACCACAATTGATCACGTTAGCAAAGAAAAAAAAGTGATGAAATGGAATAGTCATGTTTTCAATTTTTATTAGATCCAAACATAACTTCAGGGTATCTTTATTATTTTATTTATTACATTTGGCAAAAATGTTTTGTATTCCATTATTTTGTGAATACGTGAAGGCAAAAACCCCACATTGTGCAATCTTATTAAATCACGACATAAGTGCGCAGACCAAAAAGTTATTATAAGCACTTTTTATAAATTACGTGAATAGCAGGCATTTAAAAAGAGCACAATTATCCATTATGTTAAAAGTGACACAGTAAACCTCATACTCATTTAAACAAAATAACCCTAGACAGCTCCTCCTAAATAAATCATTTCCCGAGGCTTCATGCCTCAAAACACGATACACTTCAGGCAGCGAAGATAATTAAGTACAGACAAAAAACAAAACAGAACGAAGTGACAGCCAGTTGAGTTAAGTATTTAAAATGATGTAGACAAATGTGAGGTCAACATTTGGATAAGCAATGCTCTTAAGTGTTACTTACACACAAAGGCAAATAGTGAAAACCCATAATTTTGATAGATAAATATGTTGGCATCATATACAATACTTAAACGTGTAATTTTCTAGAAATCGACCATGGCCCAGCCATATGATGCTATAAGTCTTACTGTAAAAATCAAATTTCCATTACTTTAGCACATTTACAAACACGACCTTTCAACCACTTTCTTGCTCCATTAGGATGAAAATATTCCCCTCTTAAAAGGAGTCACCAGTGCCTTTTCAATTCAATTATCCAGAGAATAACAACACAATGAGCAACTATTGGAGAGCAAGGTCGTAGGATATTTAAACCCAAAGGTCAACAGCTTGAACATGCCCTTACAAATGACACTGCACTTGTTCAACAGCGATCCTCACAGCATGTCACTACGTACGGGGGGGGTGGAGGGGGTGAGACAGACCTTGGAACTTAGGGCACACAACTCCTAGCCGTGGACACAGAGACCAAGCGTGCGACGCCACGAGGGCACCTCCTTCCGCTGGGTTACCACGCCGACGCCGCGTTGCGACGCCGCTTACACGCAAAGTGCTTGGCCACACATTAACCGCAATGCTTCACTGCAGCAGCGTAGCGAGCGTGGGGGCAGGGGGTGGCCAAAGCTACGAGTTGGGGGCCCCCTTGACAACCACTGTGCGATATGTGTTTCAACAACAAGTGTGAAAGAACAAAACGCTTATTTGAAACGCGGTTAAAACATTTTTATGAACATTTTTTTAATTGACGTTCCACGTTTTATTAAAATTTAATGGGATCAGTAACGTAATATTGCAGAGAGGTACTACGGAGCTGTAGCGGCTGAATTTTGCGAAGATAGAGCGCCCCTACAACGTTAAATGTTCGAGACCGTGAGTGTAATGATGTGATTAGGCGAGAGGAGCCACGATATATAATAGCCTAGGATGCGACTGTGCCGAGACAAATCAAATAATGGGGCTCCACCTGACCGATTACTACACCCCCTGAGCTGATAATGTAGTCACGTCACTGCCTTTGCTGATCTCATCAAGGAGCATGAACCATCATGCAAACTCCAGTCATTCTCGCAGCAGCGGGCTTTTGGCTAATCATTGCACAACGATGGTCACTGGCATTGCGCGCTTTCAGATGCTCTTCAGCGGTCATCTGGACCGCCCTTCCTTCCAATATTAGGAAGCCACTGGAGCTATGCAATTTTAAATTATCTGGATTGAACACCCATTTCTTTAGAACTGCTTTTTGTGTTTAGTTGGTTGTCCTTTTTCTGCATGTGCAATTAGCACGGTTGACTACGTATGGTGTGAAAGAAGTTCAACATTACATTTGATGGAGGCCTAGGGTTTCGCATATATTCAATTTATTCCCATTCATGTTTTACCACCACCATTGCTCAATGCTAAACACCCAATTGTTATTTACCCCGGGTATATCAGTTCTTGATTTTAAAAATGCAATGTATGCACTGTAATAACGCGACATCAAAACTTGAAATAAACAAAACTGCTTCTATTTGGGTTGAAAACTTGTAGTAATGCACATAGCGATGCTATGGCTGGAATTACCAAAGTACCTGTTGATCAAGATTTTTTTTTTATTAATCATCGATGAGCATTATTGGCTACGTCCGGTGCAAAAGAAGTTCAACATACAGAAATAAACTAAACTATTTTTTTTTATTTTATCAGGTAAGGCCCACTGAGCTATATAGCTCTTTTTCAGAAGCGACCTAGCCACAAATGATAACTCGATGAAGCAGCTTATCACGTGGAAATGTATAGCTGCCAAACACTCTAAAACCAAAGGACGTGGAGAAAAATCCATGCGACCACAGGAAGAACATGCAAACTCCATATATTACAACAGGTGTCAGGGTCGGAATCACACCCACGACCTTCTGCATACCAGGCGAGGAAGTTAACATCTCGCCACCGTGGCACCCCTTATACATACATTGTGCTACATTATTGTGTTTCAACCATTATAGTTAAGTGTATTTTTTTTGTGGTGGTGGATGGGGGGGGGCACAAAATGTGAGGCCCCCGGCTGCACCCACTGAAGCCCCCTGTGTGAACGTGGCCATGCTCACACCTCATGGAACTTGAAAGAGGCCATACGGCGCTTCTCGTCGATCTGATTCGCCTTGAAGCGAATGACCGCCTCGTCGATGGAGATCAAGCCAGCCTTCACCTGCTCCTGCAGCGTGATGAGCTGCTGCTGCCCGGGCGTCTTCATGCCCGCAAAGTGGTCGTGCGTTGGGTCCTGGTTGGCAGACGCATCTGCGAAACGCCGTGTTGAAAAGCACAAAGCAACAAGCTAATAATGTGGAACAGTACAAGACACTTGCTGAAATTGTGCACAGCACTCTGTTTTACAGTTAATATAATATCTATGTTTTTTGTTTTATCAGAGGCACCAAATTCCCAAAATGCCAAGAGGCCAGTGACAAACAGCATTATTGAAGGTAGAATTTAAGCATGTGTAATTCCTTTGAACTATACTTATAATTGGTCTGCAGTTATTGTGTATAATTAACACTATATCTAAAACTTCCTTCTTCAATCAAATAGTGTCTTCTAATTTATCTTACTTTTATGCTGACCACTGTACTCGAGGGCTTTGATGGGGTGCTCTCTGTGCTCTATTTAAATAATTGTCACCCGAGTGGAGGGTCATTTAGTCTACTGGCTCATGGGTAGATGTTACAGATCCTGCTGAGTTTAATTGTTAAATGACTGCCTTATGCCCCAGTAAGCGCTAACAATGAACATATCACATTGTACACTAAACACGTATACAAAGCAGGGCTTTTTTTTAGAGAATACAGCTTCAGTGACTTACACGTAACTTGTGGGAAAATTACGAGTGGAACACAATTTCCAAATGTGCAAGGAATCAAACTTCACCTGCCGTGCAATTTGACAATGCTTGAAATACTAAGCGTGCATAGCCACGCTGAAAGGGACGCACAATAATGGCCAATGAACATTGTACACCCAAGCAGGACTGTGCAAACCTGCACCGCAGCCAACAGGCGGGCAAGCATGGGTGACAGCCGATACTCAGCACGAGTGGGCGCCAACTGCAATGGGAGAGGGAGGTGGGGGGTATGCTAAAAACAGTGCTCATGGCTGGCATTCATTATCAGTCGTAATAGCGCTTGCTCAGGAGACCTCTGCACTGAACGTGTCCCCAGGTTGCCGTAGTCAAGACACGGAATGCAAAGTGGAGACCAGTGGGCGAATGGTAGCTGGCAAGTAATTTGTTGTGCCGTTTCCGATGAGTTATTGTTTTCTCTAAGTGTTCCGCAAATTCGTGGTTAGTTTTACGGTGCGCTTGGAGCGAATAAACAAATGCCACGCGTGGACGTAATGACACCTAAACATATAGTCACGTTGCTAACACAAAAAAATCAATCATGCAGAACACTATCTTAAATATACATGCAATTACTAAAATATACATCAGCCAAGCAGAACACCCATTACATGCGGAGCATCCAACAGAATATATTTGGTATGTTAAAACCTCACAATTATTTCATGCAAATACACTTCACATGCATTGTATACCTCCATTCTACCTTGACGCATTTCTGATTTGAAAATAACAACATTTTTGCAGCGGAGACTGGAATTAAAACAATGAAAGATTATTCACAGCACACACAAAGGCAATTGTAAAAATGACCACCATCCAAAAACCATCACTGCTGTTTTACATAAGATCCTAACGTTATATCACACGCTCCCCGTAGTCTTATTAGAAGCCACTTGGTGCTCAACATGCCACTGCAGTGTTTATAATAAAGTTGTCCTTTCGGGGCACGCTCCGGGTTGCCGAGATCCCCGTTGCCATGGTCTCTGACGGCACACGGGGGACCAATGACTCACGGTTTCGCTTAGCAGCCGCACTCCCCCCCCCCCCCAGGCTGAGCACAGCGTTGGGTCCAACATTTCAGGCTGACTCAGGCAATGGGGAGCACCAACCCTGCGTATATGAACCAATTTCAGGACTCGTTTCTCAATGTGGTTGTGAGCCGATGCTTTTGAGAGCGGACCCACACCCACCCAGCCCGCTCGCCCCCCTCCCCCCCTTGCGCCCCCGGGGGGTTTCATAACCCTTTACACCTGTTACCATTTATAGCATTCAATGTGCCCTTTTTTCCGTAATTTCGCAATCGAAGATATAAAGAATAAAAAAAAACACGGTACAAACCCCTCGAAGCTGGACGCTTGAGGCGGGGGAATTGAGGAGGGAGCCGTTGGTGAGAAAGCCAAGAATGGATATTTATTTTTTCAACAACAAACTAGCTTTGGGTTGTTGTTGTTATTGTAGTGAGTTGTATTTTTTTTATGAGTATGGCTTGGCCTGCTAAGTGACATTTCATGAGTGTGGGATTACCGCGAGGACGTTTGAGGCCCTTTTATTCGCCGGATTGAAATTCCAGCGTCATTGTAACCTTACAACCCAGCTTGGCATGCACCTCTTGATGGCTTTCTGGCGAAAGATACGCCACAAGGTGATCTTTTCTCATCTAAAAAGTATCCTCGCGGACAATTCTTCAATTACTTTTAAAGAAAACAATTGTGGGTTGATTACAGAGCGGATGAGGCATCAATATCGGCCATGGTGCCAACACGTCTATAATGTACGCGTTTGAAAATGGCAAACGCACTCATATACAAAGTAACGACATTACAAACGTGTAGAGATCATATAGGCTATCAGCATGTTATACTCGATAGAATTTTAATAACTGAATGCATTAATGAAATCCTTATAGCGAATTAAAGAGATTTTAAACAAGTATAGAAAAAAACGAATCTACAATTTACTTGTCACAAACATCCTGTGTACGACTGATAATATGATTCATCTTCACGCTGCATATTTAAGCATCTTCAAAATATTACCAACAACTCTAACATACCTAAACATATGCCGGTGTATAATTAAATAAGAGAGAAATGATGCATGTCATGGTTAAGACATGATTTGAACTGTAGATGAGGGTTTTGCTATCAAGTCGGCAACCTTGGGAAATTCAACACTTTCAATGTTGTTGTACATGCCACCAACGCAGAATGCACACATCATACTGTGTGCATGTGTATATATATCTCTCTCTCTTTCATCCAAAGTATTTTAAAATGGGAACATGCTCACATACAATTTTTCAACAAATGGTAAAAGGAACTGACATTCTCCTGTAATATCAGTGCACAGAGAATGGCGTCGTCATCAGCCATTCCGTATTGACTGCTGGATGAAAACTTGCTCATGCCATCGCCATCACACGTGGTCCTGTAATGCTGCAATCGATTCACTCCTGCAAATGACCTGATCTCATCGCTCCATGCTAGCCATCCTCGCAAACGTATATTCTGCTTAAGTTGCCATTCCATCTCCAGTCTCATCCATTGGGCATCATTAACGTTGAACAATGTATCCTGCCAAAGCCCACTTAATTTAGGTGATGAGATGTTATCTCCTTCCCCTGATATGCAGGTCATGGGTTCGATCCAGACTTTGACGATACCTGTACAGTGAGGGGAAAAAAGTATTTGATCACCTGCTGAATTTGTACGTTTGCCCACTGACAAAGAAATGATCAGTCTATAATTTTAATGGTAGGTTTATTTTAACAGTGAGAGACAGAATAACAAAAACATCCAGAAAACGCATGTCAAAAATGTTATAAATTGATTTGCATTTTAATGAGGGAAATAAGTATTTGACCCCTCTGCAAAACATGACTCAGTACTTGGTGACAAAACCCTTGCTGGCAATCACAGAGGTCAGACGTTTCTTGTAGTTGGCCACCAGGTTTGCACACATCTCAGGAAGGATTTTGTCCCACTCCTCTTTGCAGATCTTCTCCAAGTCATTAAGGTTTCGAGGCTGACGTTTGGCAACTCGAACCTTCAGCTCCTTCCACAGATTTTCTATGGGATTAACGTCTGGAGACAGGCTAGGCTACTCCAGGACCTTAATGTGCTTCTTCTTGAGCCACTCCTTTGTTGCCTTGGCCGTGTGTTTTGGGTCATTGTCACGCTGGAATACCCATCCGCGACCCATTTTCAATGCCCTGGCTGAGGGAAGGAGGTTCTCACCCAAGATTTGACGGTACATAGCCCCGTCCATTGTCCCTTTGATGCGGTGAAGTTGTCCTGTCCCCTTAGCAGAAAAACACCCACAAAGCATAATGTTTCCACCTCCATGTTTGACGGTGGGGATGGTGTTCTTGGGGTCATAGGCAGCATTCCTCCTCCTCCTCCTCCTCCAAACACGGCGAGTTGAGTTGATGCCAAAGAGCTCCATTTTGGTCTCATCTGACCACAACACTTTCACCCAGTTGTCCTCTGAATCATTCAGATGTTCATTGGCAAACTTCAGACGGGCATGTATATGTGCTTTCTTGAGCAGGGGGACCTTGCGGGTGCTGCAGGATTTCAGCCTTTCACGGTGTAGTGTGTTACCAATTGTTTTCTTTGTGACTATGGTCCGAGCTGCCTTGAGATCATTGACAAGATCCTCCCGTGTAGTTCTGGGCTGATTCCTCACCGTTCTCATGATCATTGCAACTCCACGAGATGAAATCTTGCATGGAGCCCCAGACCGAGGGAGATTGACAGTTCTTTTGTGTTTCTTCCATTTGCGAATAATCGCACCAACTGTTGTCACCTTCTCACCAAGCTGCTTGGCAATAGTCGTGTAGCCAATTCCAGCCTTGTGTAGGTCTACAATCTTGTCCCTGACATCCTTGGAGAGCTCTTTGGTCTTGGCCATGGTGGAGAGTTTGGAATCTGATTGACTGATTGCTTCTGTGGACAGGTGTCTTTTATACAGGTAACGAGCTGAGATTAGGAGCACTCCCTTTAAGAGTGTGCTCCTAATCTCAGATCGTTACCTGTAAAAAAGACATCTGGGAGCCAGAAATCTTTCTGATTGAGAGTGGGTCAAATACTTATTTCCCTCATTAAAATGCAAATCAATTTATAACATCTTCTTTGGTTCTTTCGGTAAAGTGGAGTGCCAGCGCTGTCCTACCAGACAGTCTCGTCCCTTCACCTGATGAAGGCCGCTTGTGTTGTGGCCGAAACGTCGTGAGAATATTATTGTGTTATTTTATTTTATCAATTTATTATTTTATTCTCATTCTACGTGACTTTACCGAAAGAACCAAAGAAGATGAATCATTGCAGTCACGAAAGCTTTAAATCGAAATTCAATTTATAACATTTTGACATGCGTTTTTCTGGATTTTTTGTTGTTATTCTGTCTCTCACTGTTCAAATAAACCTATCATTAAAATGATAGACTCATAATTTCTTTGTCAGTGGGCAAACGTACAAAATCAGCAGGGGATCAAATACTTTTTTCCCTTACTGTATCATGTGTGGCCTGGTCACCTCTGGAACAGGGCTAATAGCTCAGTCGGCTTTACATGGTCAAATTAAATGGGTTTAGTTTAGCACTGAATATGATATCACTGTTTTTGTCAGTATAATTCAAATATTACTTCAAGCATACATCTCTCCATCCCTTCTTTGTACGTTTATTTTCTATTTAATTTGCTTGTGTCCGTGTTTCTCATTCATGTCATATCTGTGATTATACCATTATTGAAAAGTGTCTTCTTCGTGCACAGTACTGTTATGCTACTTTTTACGTATTCTTGGTTCTTTCGGTAAAGTCACGTAGAAGGGAAACAATAAAATAATAAAAATATATTTATATTTGACATGCGTTTTTCTGGATTTTGTTGTTGTTATTCTGTTTTTATTATTTTATTGTTTCCCTTCTACGTGACTTTACCGAAAGAACCAAGAATATGAATCCCTGCAGTCACGAAAGCTCTAAATCTACTTTGTATGATCAAAACATTTTTCTCCAAATGTGATCAATCCTGCTCTTATATTCACCTCGATTTCATAATTTTCATCCCAATACACATTTCATAACTGCCCCAGCTGTAAATATTCTACTTGTGAACCTCCAACGATCACCTTAATTTATTTAGCAAACATCTTTTTGATTTAAAGCTTTCGTGACTGCAGTAATTCATATTCTTAGTTTTTTCGGTACAGTCACGTTGAAGAGAAACAACAAAATAATAAAATATATATTAAACAATAAAAAATCTCACGACGTTTCGACCATAACTCAAACGGTCATCTTCAGGTGTGTTGGTTTGCATAAAAATTTTTTTAAATAAATAAATGCGCCATTTAAAAATAAATGTATGCAAACCAACACACCTGAAGATGACCGTTTGAGTTATGGTCGAAACGTCGTGAGAATTTTTTTTATTGTTTAATATATATTTTATTATTTTGTTGTTTCTCTTCAACGTGACTTTACCGAAAAAACTAAGATTATAAACATCTTTTTGTTTTAAAGCTTTCGTTACTGCAGGGATTCATATTCTTGGTTCTTTCGGTAAAGTCACGTAGAAGGGAAACAATAAAATAATAAAAATATAAAACAAGAATAAAAATATAAAACAACAAAAAAATAATAAAAATGTTGTTTTACATTTTTATTATTTTATTGTTTCCCTTTTACGTGACTTACCGAGAGAACCAAGAATATAAACATCTTTTTGTTTTTTCTCATATTTGTCGAGTCCAAACTTGCAGCATTATGTGTTATGCCCTTCAATTATCTCCATTGTTATGATTGATTTTCATCAGCAAATCTGACATGGCTAACAGTCTCTCCATTCGTGTGTCTGCCTTTATTTCTCCAAACCAGTTCTTATAAAATATCAAATGTCTCTGAATATCCTTGGTGAGAACCTATTTTACTATCTGATACCTCTTCTTATTTCTCTTTATGCAATCTCATTGCAGTGCTTCCTTATTTTTGTAATGATTTGTATAGTTCCTACGTAATTATTGTATTAGTAAGACCTTGGCTTGGAAGACTCCTGCAGTATCCATTGCATCAAATGCTGATTCATATTTGGTAATAGCCAGGAATAAAAGGTATGCAGTACTTATTTGTAGTTTCTTGGATCTGGTTACTAGTGTAGTAAATGGCAGACCATATACTAAAGCGAATGTACCTTATATACTTCACTCACGAGCCTGCTACGTGAATTACAGGTCCCTATATTGCTCAGTTTATGATTTTGATCGTATAATAAGTGAGTGTTTTACGTGATCTACACATAATTAATGGTAATGACTTATATTGAAATATTTCCTTTTTTGTATCTCATGCTAATGAAATGACCACTCCTATATATTGTTTATTTATACATAGTACCTAAGCAAAACATCTGCATCTATTATGTTTAACAGTGACATGCCAGCAGTTTAGTTCAAGTTAACGTAACTGCATCCAACCAACTTCATAAATGTTTATAGGACAATTATGGTACATTCTAATTGCTATGGATTGCTTGGTGTCAAGTAAAATTAGGAGAAGATGGGAGAGGTGGGAAATTATAATCAGGTGATCACTATGGGATGGTACACTGACACAATAATACAGCCAACACTGCTCTGCATCAGAGCATGCCATGCTACCACGTCCTATTCATCTGCCTACAGCTAGACCAACAACCGCCAGGAAATAAATGGAATGTTAAAGCAGGCATTCTTTTCTCCTTGGTACATATATATTATTCAATGGGGCGGAGCAGCGGCGCAGTGTTTGGCTCACTGCGCTATAAACCAGGTGACCTAGTTGGATTCTCAGCTGAGGCCAACGTCAGTGCTAAGAGATATCTGAACGGGGTCTGGGCACCACCCGAACTTCACGAACACGCACTGATCGGCATGGCGAAGTATGATAAAAAAAAATACCTCCCGTGGTCGACACGCCATGGGGAGGCCTTTGCTGAGCAGTGTATTGACAAGTGACTGCAATTATTGTATGATTTGCCAAGAAACTTGCATGCATGAGAATATGCTGTGCAAACTGTACATGACACGTAATATAGCGGTGGTTATTGCTTTAGGTTATTATGGATGCAGGTTTGGATATTTGTTTCTGAACTATCCACGGATTATGTAAATTACCTCATCTTGTCCAATATGTGAATTAAAAAATCTAGAAAGTGCGAAGCGAACTCAATGATGGCAACGTAGATTCTCACAAACCCTGGATTCCGAGTACCTAAACATGCGCGACTTCAATGGAATGATATTGCACTCATGAACATTTTATTGCTGCCGCTGCAATATTATTACAAATATTGCCATGTACATATCAAATTCATTTCAGACAAGGCATACATTTTGTGTATTAATTGCGTGTTGCAATATGTTAGACTTTAGGAAGTAATGCATACCTTGTGGTGCATATTAAATTAAGAGTGCATCCTTTCTTGTAGTGTTTGTTACGCTGTCGAATTTCCACTCATTCACAAGACCCATGCAAAATATACGTCGTGATCCATGTATAGATACCCTACTAAAATAACAGGGATAAGTTACCGCACAGAGAAAACTGCATTTTATGTCAAAGCCTCTACATGCCAACAACCAATCTCAATGAACTCATTAAATATTGTAACATTCTCCCTGGTAAGATACGGAGCCATCAATTTAACAAAAAAAATATTGCCTCTTGAGAAGAAAGCAAAGAGAGCCATTAGAAACCAGTGGGTATCTTACAAATGAATCGCCGGAAATATTTGTAACTAAAGAGCATCACAGCAACAAAATGCATTTACAGTAATGAAGCTGTACAAAGAATAGACATTCACCTTCAAAACCTTTCTCCGGCTGGTGCTGGGCAACAGCTGGTGGTGACCTTGCTGGCTTCAGAGAGGCCCTTTTCGGCCAATTCTGTTGCGACCTTTCTTCTGAAAGAAGAAGCAGAAGCACAGTCAATGTGGCAACCATCAGAGTGTTTTTTTTCCCCCAACGTAACGCATGCCTAAGACAATTTTGTTCCTTGCACACTTTGATTCGGTATGTATTCTATTTTCTTTTTCAATAACAGTATTAACGAAGTTCTACATGTACAGTATAATGGTATACAGTACGAGCAAATATGATTGTTTGATTTAAGTAGAGTGTTTTCAAACTTGCGATAGACTCGTATGTATTTATAAACAAGCACAAATGTGCTTTAACTGTGTAAACGTGTTAATGCATTTGCCTTTTCGCCTCTGGCGTGCTAATTTAAGGGTCGCATATATATTTAAAATGTTGTAAATGGGCCTTTAACAGACTTTTACATTTGAAACTGAGGTCAATGGGTTTCACGTCTTGACTCTGTGTGTCCTTGGATGGTTTAAACCTGGCTTTGAGCAGATCAACAAGAAACAATTTATAGCCAGCGATTGTCCCAGCAGCCCACCTGACACAACGTGGCGATCAATACTCTGCAGCCTGTCATGAAGAGGAGCAAACAGGTGAGTGCTTCTTCACTCTGAAAGTGTTCATGGGAAAAACCCTGATTTAAAGCGTTCGTGACTGCAGGGATTCATATTCTTGGTTCTTTCGGTAAAGTTTCCCTTCTATGTGACTTTACCGAAAGAACCAAGAATATGGGAAAAACCCTATCCAGCGAGTGTAAGGATGTGCTTACCCAAGGATGGCTTAACATTCATGGGGAAAATGTCATTTCCAGCTCCAAAAAAAAATGATCCGCGCCACAGAATGTTCAACAAGGTAGCGATGAGCAACTTTCACTGTATATATATTATTGGTTCTTTCGGTAAAGTCACGTTGAAGGAAAACAATAAAATAATAAAATATATATAAAACAATAAAATTCTCGCGACGTTTCGACTGCAACACAAGCAGTTTTCCTTCAACGTGACTTTACCGAAAGAACCAAGAATATGAATCACTGCAGTCACGAAAGCTTTAAATCAAAATTTAACTTTCACTGTGTGAAAAACTGGTGTGAGACGCACCTTGAGCTTCAGTGTTCTGCATGTTACAAACAATTTACCTATTTCAATGGTGAGCACCGAATCATTTCAGGCTACATTTAATTAAATGGATTTGGCACAACACATGGCTAAGCTAAGTTTCAATATACGTTAAACATTGTAAATGTTACCTATCCACACATTCAACATCTGGGAAGGTGATTACAGTTATCTTTGAGTGACATTAATGGCTGTTTATATACCCGTACTGTTACAGTTATTAATAATCATTCCTAATGTATTACACTTAAAAGAGGTCAATGAACAGTGGGGTAAAACATAGGATGCGTGCATCTGAGTTGTGCAATTTTCTGGGAAATACAATACATTCCAAAACATATGAAATCAACTGAGCAATTATAGAGTGCACGTACGTATATTGTAAGGAACCCTAGGATGCTCTGCATGAGGAGCGCTATCTAAAAATAATTGTATCGTACATCATTTAACTTTTTAAAAGTCTGACGACTCATAACCGTGCAAAAAACCTTGCAGAGAAACCCTGTTCTCTTGTGAGGTTGACGGTGCTCGTGGATATGCATCTCCAAAGGGCCAAATCGTGCCGCCCGCTCAATATTCTTTACCCTGTTGTGATTGACAACCAGTGCTGACAACCATCTCTACTTTCCGGTTACCTCCAACGCCTCATTTGACTTAAGTGACTATCGCAGAGAAAGTGTGCCATGCTGTCTGGCTGTCTATTGTTCCTTTATTCCCTGTTGAGTTAGTGGTTCTCAATTCCCTTTCCCTATCTGTGATTCATCAACACACAACTGTAAGTTTCCCAGACTAAGTGTATAAAAAAGCAACCCAAGTCACTATGCACGTTCAATACGAACAAATGTTCTGCATTGAAACGTAAAGATTTACATTATTTACAGGTAAACTGCTTTCGTTGAGAAAATTGTAAAAAAAAAGAACATGTTTACGGTAAAATTGTTTCACGTAAGATTGATCTTCCGAACATCACGATTTAATTAAATGTATATATATACAGTATTTTAAAAAAATCGTGTTTGTACTGGATTAGAGCCAATTCAACTCTGTGAGCTCATGGTGGGTGAGCAGAGCAGTGTGGAAATTGCCTGCTGGTCAAAAGCTGGGGCAACACTCTGGGGGAATGGTAAATGAAGAACATTAATCAGACAGTGGTAAAAACTCCTACAGCATCTCGATCAGGAGCCGCTTGCAGCTTCGAGATGTTCTTGGTGCTATAACTGTGGGTCACCAATAAATCAAACCGGTTTGCCTCTGAACGTGGGTCTTTTCGCACATGCCACATGTAATAATCAAATGCAAATCAAATGAGCGTCACTACAGCTATCTAGCCTACCTAGAAAAAGCATTATAAACGTATACATATTAGCCCTGGTATTCATATATATGTGTGTATATTATATATCTCAGCACCTGCTCTGCTAATGTAGGGAACATGACTTAATGTAAATGCTCTTCAGCAACATATTCCTTTTAGGAATGCACTTGGAATGCCATCTGGACTGCCTGGATGTCCTAGCGATTAAAATTATATTTGCTGAGCAGCAGATTGCAAGTGTCTGGCAGTTGAAATCTTCATTCTTGCAATCATAGAGGACATAATCAAAGGACTCCAACTGGTCTAAAGGTGAACATTAAACACTGTGACGTGATTTAGAAAAGCAGCAGATAGATGAACCTATGTATCGACTTTTTTTTTAAATACAGTGAAACTTTCAGATAACGTTCTTGATGGGCTAGAAAAACTGAACGTCACAGAGTACTTTCCTGCCATTAAAAAAAACCGGTTCTCATTTGTCTGTTTTTTCTAGACTCTGCCTTTCGTGCGCTCCCACTCTCACTGCCTCTTTGATTCTGCATACATTTTCTCTTCAAAGCTCTATCCACTGCTATTTCGAATATACATTTGCACTGGGTTTGCCACCTTTTCCATAATCTAAGAGAGCAGTAAAATATGTATGGGGACATTTATGGTGGGGAAATAATTATATAATTACATAACAATACCTTTTGGTTCTTTCGGTAAAGTCACGTAGATAGAAAATTAATAGATGACGACGTTTCGATCGCAACACAAGCAATCGTCATCAGGTGAGACAAACACAGCAGGAGAACTGCTGAGGCAGGAGAAAGAGCTGCTGCAACAAGAGGTTACATAGGCTTGAGGTGGGCTCAACCCAAGGGTAAGTGGGCGGAGCTAGAGATCAAATTTGCATGTAAATGTAAGAGATTAGCATGTCAATGTAAGACGGCTACAGCAACCAGGGGCTGTATCGATGAGAAGATTAGCATGTCAATGTAAGACAGCTCCAGCAACCGGGGACTGTGTCAATGACAAGATTAGCATGTCAATGTAAGACGGCTCCAGCAACAAGGGGCTGTGTCAATGAGAAGATTAGCATGTCAATGTAAGACGGCTCCAGCAAACAGGGACTGTGCCAATGAGAGATTAGCATGTCAATGTGAGAGAACCGGACAAAATAAAACGGCAAGAGCAACTACGAGGAAAGACCAGCATGTGAACAAGAGTGACACACGTGGAGAAAGAGAGATACACACAGAGACACACACAGAGAGACACAGAGTGAGAGATACACACAGAGGGACAATCCACAAACAGAGAGAGACATCCACATAGAGAGAGACACAGAGAGAGAGAGAGACCTACACAGAGAGAGACACATATGGAGATAGACAGAGACACAACACAGAGAGACACAGAGAGAGAGAGAGAGACACACACACACAGAGATAAACAGAGATAGACACACAAAGAGAGAGACACACACACAGAGAGAGACACAAAGAGAGGCACACACATAAAGACACATACAGAGAGGCACAAACACAGAGGCAAACAGAGAGACACACATACAGAGAGACACATACAGAGAGACACATACACAGAGAGACACACATACAGAGAGACACATACAGAGAGAGACACACACACAGAGACACATACACATTGAGACAAACAAACAGAGAGACACACATACAGAGAGACACATACACAGAGAGACACACATACAGAGAGACACACACACAGAGAGACACATACACAGAGAGACACATAAACAGAGAGACACATACACAGAGAGACACACATACAGAGAGACACATACAGAGAGACACATACAGAGAGACACACACACAGAGACACATACACAGAGAGACACATAAACAGAGAGACACACATACAGAGACACACATACAGAGACACACACACAGAGAGACACATACACAGAGAGACACATACAGAGAGACACATTCACAGAGAGACACATACAGAGAGACACATACAGAGAGACACACACACAGAGAGACACATACACAGAGAGACAAACAAACAGAGAGACACACATACAGAGAGACACATACAGAGAGACACACACAGAGAGACACACATACAGAGAGACACATACACAGAGAGACACATACACAGAGAGACACACATACAGAGAGACACACATACAGAGAGACACATACACAGAGAGACACACATACAGAGAGACACACATACAGAGAGACACAAACACAGAGACACACATACAGAGAGACACACATACACAGAGAGACACACATACAGAGAGACACATACAGAGAGACACATACACAGAGAGACACACATACAGAGAGACACATACACAGAGAGACACACATACAGAGAGACACATACACAGAGAGACACATATACAGAGAGACACATACACAGAGAGACACACACACACAGACACATACACAGAGAGACACACATACAGAGAGACACATACACAGAGAGACACACACACACAGAGACACATACACAGAGAGACACATACACAGAGAGACACACACACAGAGAGACACACATACAGAGAGACACACATACAGAGAGACACACACACAGAGAGACACATAAACAGAGAGACACACACACAGAG